CTGAGTGTGTAATCTTGGGTCTCTTGACTGATTTGAGGAACGCTCTGTTCTGTTCTCCATTGTGTCTCAGAGCCAACGCGCTGCGATCTGTTATCTGTCTGCACAAATTTTACACACTGTAATTGTAATTCCTTCGACACATCGACATACCCACACACACAAACACACACAAACAGCCAATACATACACACACATCAGGGGCTGCAGCTTGTTCACCATGCTGCACATACACATTGTTCTTCATCTTTATGCTTCCTTCCTACTTTGTCACAATCCTATACAACAGTTGACAGACACAATATCTTTGAGTTGCAGTATCACTTGCTCACCCCTCCACTACACCCCTCGACACACACAGAAACACACACACAGAAACACACAGATGGAGGGATTATGTGCTATCACATTAGCAGTGCAGCTCTGTGTTAATGGCCTTTACATCATCCAGCAGAGGATAAACTTAGCTGCTTTGACTCTTTAAACACATTCAACCTTCTGACTCTCTCTCTCTCTCTCTCACTGTACATCTTTCTCTTACTACCAGTTTGTCTCTCTGGCTCACTCTCTTTCTGCCTCACCCTCTGTCTGACTCTTTCTCCCCACTTCTCTGTATTTTCCATTAAACTGTTGCACAAGTTAGGTTCTGAATGAAACGTGAATCAGTATGTTTTCCAGGATGTGCCTGGAATAATAACTCTAAATATTTGCAGTTTTTCTTGGTTTGGTTGTGACTAGCGGTGAAGATACAGCTGCACTGCGCCATTATTAAAGGTAGCAAACTAGCTACACAACAAGCTATTCAGAAAGGTAATTTCAAATAAAAATTCAAAAACAATTCTTACAACCGTTCAACATTTTAGTGTTGACTCCAGGAAGTTAAAGAGTAAAAATCAAATGTAGAGTAAAGATGTCTTGTTTGATCATGCTACCCTGCTAGGAAAAAAATAGCTAGTTACTACCTACTGGAAATGTTTTAATTTTATTTCACCTTTATTTAACCAGATAGGTCAATTGAGAACCAATTCTCATTCGCAATAACAACCTGGCCAACAACTAATGTGAGAAATAATACAGTTAAACAGAGTTAAAACAGCACAGTATAAACATTATGTACACAATATGTCTAGGTATTGTGTTCCAGTGGGGTAGATTTAAAAGCAAGTGCAATAATCGGAAACTAACACATAGGAGGATAATGGAATAAGGATGTGCAGTTTTAACAGCTTTTGCAACTGGTTCCAATCACTGGGAGCAGCAGCCTGAAAACAGTGACAGCTGAGGGAAATGTGGTGTGATCATACAAAAAGATTAGCTTGTAGAAAATAATGCAATTAGCTAATGTAATAAGCTTTGTAGAAGTAGCATTGCTACTCCCCAACGCTGGGCATAATGGTTGTAGAGAGGAGGTTGACATGCAACATGGATCTCCGTCTGGAAACTGAGAACAAATGCATAAAAACTAAATAAAATAGATGAAAACTTATCTCGTTTTCCTGTTCTTGTCTTTCTGCTCTTCCTCTCTCATTATTTCTGTCTTGTACCCTCTTTCAGTATCTCTCTTAATGCCTTTCTCTCACTTTCAGTTTAATTTAGTAAACATATTTGATGGCCTGTTTATTGAAAATAGAGTTGCACAAATCAAAAAACCCACTCTCCTTTTCTCATACTATGAGCACAATAAGTGTGATGTTGACTTTCCCTCCTCGCTCTAATGAAAAGTTATGACACAGCGCCTCCAAGATTTACTCATTTTGTTTCTCACTCACAATCCCTCTTCTCATTAACTCTGTTTGTTCTTCTCCCCCGTCTGCTACACACTTACTCTCATCTGAACATCTCTGTGTCCAACTTGTTTTTTCCCACACCCTTTTTTTTATTTTTTACATTTTTGATTAATAAGTGAGGGTCAGAGAAATTAAATTACCTGAAGCATAGCTGCGTTAAAGCGGAAAAACGAGAGAGTCTGAGGTTGTAAATAATCTGGCAACAACCACCAGACTTTGGAGGCTATTGTAAAAACACAAATTACCCAATTAAACTGTGTCCAATCAACTTTACATGCAGTAATATACGGCTTACAAGCTTCTGAATATCTGTAGTATCTGAGTATAATGGAAAGAAAAGAAAGAAGATAACCCAGTAAAGTAGTAGTAGTCATTTTTACTATTAGGCCTAATGTTCCATGTTATATTACTACTACTACTAGTGATGTTTTTTCCAACTGTAATACTTGGAGCTAAGAAGGGTAATATATAAATATAATTGTATATAGTACAATAGGTTGTCCCTACATGGGATAAGCAGATATATATTAAATTAAATTATTATTTTCTAAATACTGCGTTTCTGACTGTATTTGAAGTTTAGTTATTGTTGCGAGCTTATCATGGCCGTATTGAATTACATTATAATTAAGTAGGTGTACTTAAGTGTGAAATGTGTTCAAGTTACTATGAGGACCAAAAAAGAAGTACTTAACATTGCCTGTCTGCTGTTCTTCTGACAAAAACATGTGAATGAAAACAATGATTACTTATTGTTATGGAGCTAAATATCAACATTTTAAATAAAGTATATGGATTTTACGTTACTTAAATTGTAACCCCTGTACTCTATCTGCACTCAAAACGACTGTTTTGGCTTAACAAAAAGCTGAAAAAAACCACATTGAGTTACTTTTCCTCTACAAGGTCTTTTAATTACCACTTACTTAATAATTGGGAGCATAAAGTTTTTAAGTTGAATAGGCTACTCATAAATAATAACTGGTTTTAATTAGTTTTTCCACATTATTTGTCAACAACTCTTTAAAATAATGTTTGCAATTTAAAAGATTGATCTTAATCAATAAATTAGAAGTTGTATCTTGCTACCACTCATTTATTTAAGTGGTGACAATAGGGCCACCGAATTACAGAAACAACACATAAACAAGAGAGTTTGGGATTTTTTATATTGTTTTTTAGTTAATTATCCCCTTCTCCTTTTTAACTGTCTCCATCAACATCCCCCCGACTCCACCCAGTCCATCCCTCTTGTTCCTGTAATGACGCTCCATCTGTGCAGTCCATGAGGTGGCCTCATGGCTTAGTGGCTGCGCTGATGAAAATGACCCCAGTGACAGTACAACACAACACAATAAACATACACTAAACCCGCTCTTTGGGGGCACCGCTTGCCACCAGGCAACAAAAGTGTGGTTTTCATGCTAGACCTGCATCAAATAGTGTCACACACCAGGGAGCTCTCTGTGTACAGGCATCACCTTCTGGATTCGAGCATCTTGCAACAGCACTGCTCTGAAATCCCTCATGTCAGTGTGTTCTCATAATGTTTGTATAAAAGAAAAACATACAGCCTGAGATTAAACTGCCACGGGTAAATGTATAAACTCAACCCTGTGCCAGTTCTGACAAATTACTCTCTTCTTCTGTCAGGCTATAGTTGCTTTTTTATTTGATTTAAAGAAAATAATGTACAAATTATGGTATAGTATCTCCTGTAACTTTAGAAACTGATCAAATAACAGGCTCCATATCACATATTCTCAGATTTAGTCACAGGTATGATTGTTACTCCAAAGCTTCATGTGCATACACAGCCTCCATACGCAACAAACTGTAATGCACTGTGTGTTCTGACTCCTTTCTATCAGAACCGAGCATTAACTGTTTCAGGCCAGCCTTCGCTCCTCACTGCATCATGATAGCCTTGGCTGCCCATGAACTCTCTCCGGTTCTTTTTCTTCCTTGGACCACTTTTATAGGTACTGACCACTGCAACCAGGAACACCCACAAGACGCAGTTCCTGGAGATGTTCTGACCCATCTCTAACCGTCATAATTTGGCCCTTGGTCAAAGTTCTCAAATCCTCACGCTGCCCATTCCCTGCTTCTAACACATCAGCTTTGAGGAACAAAATATGTTCACTTGCTACCTAATATATCCCACCCACTGACAGGAGCCATCATAACCAGATAATCAGTGTTATTCACTTCACCTGTCAGTGCTCATAATGTTATAGCTGATCTGTGTATTTATAAAGTCAGGTTGTATATCCTTTTTTTACGCTTTATCTTAGTCCATCATTTCATAATAACTTCCTAATAACTGTCAAGACATTTCTTTCTGGAAAGAACCAGGTGATTAATAATTAAAGGAAAAAACAAGACAATGTTCAATGTGAATTAATGTGCTAGAGTAACCTCGAGAGTATTTAAAGTTGTAATCCTTAAGCTTTCAGCCCTGGTTGATTTGGCAACAACTATGGTGACCATGGTAACAACAAATGCAGTTTAATACTACAGAAAGGCCTCCATGAGCAGCGACTTAGTCAGAAATTATACAAAAATATACAAGTACAGGTCCATTTATATATGAGGAATAAAAGTTCAAATAATCCAAGAAATAATAAATGAATATTTTGGGTTTAAATTGAGCTTTTCTTTTATAGACATTTTCCCTGTAATTAATCCCAACGTTTTTTCCAGGAAACATCCTATAAAAGTTTGGGGAAATTATGGACCCATACATTGAAGAATTACCAAATGTTCATACTATAACAATTCAGTGACTTTCTTTTTAAGTTAAAGTTGTGTTTTTCATACTTTTCACCATTTTTGTCATATGTCTATCCTATATTAATTTAACTAAATTTGTCATCTTTATATTTTGCTAATTGATTCTTTTCTTTCTTCTGATGTATCCCAGTTTTTACCTGCTGCTACAAACAGGGATAATTTAAGAATTATGATGTGGAGAGTGTTTATTTGATGCCAGTGTGGCTGTGTTGGATGAAAGAAACCAAAGATTAACGGTACATTCAGTTGTGTTGCTGTTGTTCCTGGTGTGTGGGTGTGTGTAGGAGCCACTGTGGTTCCAGGATGTTTTCAGTCACTTCTAACCTCACTTTTGATCAGAAATGTTTCACAAAAGAGCATCAAAAGTCAAAGTCTCTTTTTATTTCTCCTCTCTCTTTCTCCCTTCCTCTTTCTCTGCAGGCAGATGGATGATGCTGATACCTCAATCCGGAGGTGTGGAGTGACAGATGACAGAGGGATTGATACAGCGGGAGAGAAAGTGAGGAGTAACGCCAGAAAGGGTCACTGCCGGCGGTAATGGAAAACAGCGGCAAAGTTCAGGCACATCGATCGGGAGGCGTGGAGAAGTAAGTGACCGGATATACTGATACCGGGATGACAGTGTTTCTATCTCTTTACCCTCTGTTGCTTTCTCTTTGTTGCCGCAGTTGCACTTTTGTCTCTCACTGCCTCTCATTTCTGTCATTTCTCTTGTTGCACTTTCATGCACATTTTATATGTAACACCTTACGGGGCTCAAAGTGCTCATTATTTCCAACTGGAGGAGCTTCAGGGTTGTCCTTGCAGCTCTTTTAAGTCGCTGCACCGTTTTCTCACAGTATTGTCGTCTTAGCTTTAAAGTTTGTGGCTAAATAACTTATGCTGATGCATACATCCAACATGTTGTTACATCCCACAATGACTCAGGCATGTAGTCATTTCATTCAACTTTTTCTGTTTTAAATGATTGTTATGTGTGGGCTCTTCCTGCTGCGCTTCAGGGGATACATTTAAAATTTTTCAGCCATTGTGATCAATAAGACATTGTATTATTAGCTTGCCAGTGATTGTTGACCAACAGGAAAATGCTAGCCTTGCTGACTGTAGTCAAGTCCTACCTGTTATAAACAATAACAGCAGGTAGGCAGGAGGCAACTTAAAAGTTAAATTAAATGTTACACATTGTAAAAGTAATTGTATAGCAAGTCTGAAAAAATAACTACTGGAGTAAAAATATATCAAACTGAAAACACTGCACGAATCGTAAATAACAGAGTGGATTTATTCCAATAAAAAAAATGAGAAGTGATCGAAATAATATAAAAAGTTAGTCATCCCAGGAAAAGCAAAACACAAACAAAATGACTTCCACATACCTTTTAGTGCAAGCAGGAGCTACTATGATCTGTTTAATTTTTTCCTATAAATCAAAAGAAGCACATGTGTATGCATAGTGAAATTGAGAAAAAGAAGTATTGTTGTCACAGAAGTTGGCATTTAATAATTTACTGACATTTATAGCTGGTGGATATGAAATGCAAACCCTTGAATGTTCTTCAAACCACACAAAAGAGCAGTTAGGGCTGTTTGCCTTTGCAGGGCAGTTTAATAAGAAGAAAATCCTTCCGTCCCATTTCGCTGCCAACCTCGACTGTTTTATCTCGCCGAGCAGAAATGACTTAAACAAACACGAGCACGACAGCAATTTGTCCCCGCGGTGAAAAGCAAAAAGCGGTGGCGGCGACATCTGTGCCTTGAGTAGGCTTCTGCTGCGTGATCCTTTGTGAGTCTCCAGCCGTATCCGTGTGACTCTCTTTAAGTTGTTGGGCGGAGAATGTTTTACAGTCACAGCACCAATTATAATCTACAGATGATGCGATTGGTTCTCTGAGACGCGTGCACACACTCTGCACACCACAGATTGTGATGTTTGGTTTGAAACTAATGAACTGTGTGTTTTCACACCAGGTTTAAAGCTAAAACTACATGGATAGAAGGAAGAAGATAATTAACTCGTTACTGTCCTGTGGAGTTTTGGTTACATTTTGGGTGGCTATTTCTCTTCCCTTCAGTCTGTTTCTCCTCAATTACTTTTCCTTTAATCTCTCCAATTCTTTCTTTATCTAACCTTCCTACTCTCTCTACCCCCTCGTCCTCCTCCTCCTCCTCTCACTCCCTCTCTGTGATGTATTGCTGCTTTATCAGACCGGTTAAATCGCTCGCCTGCGGTGCTGTTTAGTTTTCCTGTGAACTATGTTGATGCACTCCCTGAGAGGAGGCGATAAGAAGCCGTCTGTCTATTACACACTGAGCGGTGCAAAGGTGATAAACACACACATATAATTCCTCATCATCTGTTCTTATTTCAAGTTGTTTTCATTGCATTCTTGCATTTTTAAAGCACAGATTCGCTGATTTTCAACCCTCATAATAAAGATGTTTACCATTATTTAGAATCATGTATACAGGAACACCGTTAGAGGCTTTTATTTAACCACCACTACTCTGTTTTATTGACTTTGTATTGCACAAAGTCCTGTTTTTTCCAGCATAGACGTAGCCAAGACAAATAATCCATAAACCCTGATAGAAAGCGTGGTTTGCAGCCGTCGTTAATCTGCCAAAGATATATACTGTGAGCTTTCTGTTTCTGAAGAAAGGATTTGTCCTGGCCCAGTGAGAAGCTGCAGCAGAATGGTCTCAGTTCCTATCCCATCTTCAATCTATAGACAGCATTAGCGTCTTTTAACCATCTTATATGTAGTTATAATTAACCAAACACAAAGGAAATTGTTCAGTGTTTTGGGAAATAGTCATTTACGCAGTTACATGAATCAATACCACTCTCATTTCTTTTGTTCCATTTATAAGTAGATACGATTAGCTTGGCATAAAGAAAAAAGCTAACATGGCAGCCTCCAATGTTCAGCTGAATAATTAATGTGCTGTATCTCGTTTGCTTAATCTATATACAAAATAAATTAGTTAAGTGTTATTCTAGTGCAACATTTCTTCAAATTATTTGACTTACTACATGAGGAATTAACATTTTGATACAATGAATAACATTGAACATTTCACGTAATTTGATTGTTGGAGTTGCAGTCTTCCGTACAATCCTAGTGGTGTTCAGTTAGTTGTATCTAAAACTTCACCACTAGATGCCACTAAATCCTGGTACTTTAATACAAAATATAAATTAACTAATTAATTACGGTATATTATTATGGATTAAGCTACACGGTAATATACATAAGTAGCTTAACCTTGTAGTACTTATTCTACTTTTACTTAAATGTAAGTAAAAATTGGAGTACGTCACCCACCACTGTACATGGGTTGTTGTTTGGTAGAGGCTGAGAGAACATGTTTTATTTTTTTTCTCTTTAGGTATGAGGACTTGCAGATAACACAATGACTCTTCCCCCCACACACACACGACACCTGAATAATCTGAATTAAGTATTATGTTTGCACACAATCACACATAGACAATTAATTTATGCCTACAGTCATTTAAACAAACAAAAGCAAAACAGATAAGAGTGAATACACTCAAACACACACCGAGATACAATAGATTCCCATTAAACAATACAAATGTTAACATGCCCACACAGACGAAAAAAAAATGCAAAACAGGGATTTTTATTGTTGTGCTTATAGCGATGAGAAAAAATATGTACACACAAACATTTAGAGTGCCTATTGTGCTTGATATTACCGTAGACTCACCGCCCACTAAACCATCTCAGCTGGAGGCTTGGGTCCGTCTGGAGATGTGCTGGCTTTTTTATCTCAAACAAATACATATGGACACAGAGGCTCACACCCATTCACTTTTCATTCTTAAACATGTGCCCACACATTGTAAAAAAAGAACTGTTGTTGGTTTTCGCAGTCTTTTACGCTCTGTCTTACTGTTCGTTACATGCAAGGCATATGTATACACACTCTTTCACACACACATACAGTACACTCCGACTCCTCCACATATCCTTGAAGACATTTATGAGGTGCTAAATCACTAAGCCGCCTGAGTGGTAAGGGTAAATAGAGAGGACAGTCAGTACTTCAACGCACACACACACACACACACACACACACACACACACTGCGATGTGAGGGTGTAAACATCAAAGCTTCTGTTTCATTTTTATCTCTTTTAGTTTATTTTAAACGACTGTAGTGTTTGACACCGGCAGTCGTTCTTTCTGCCACACTTTTATTAGGATCGCAGACAATATCAGAAATTAGTCTAGTGAAGGAAGAAAGAAACAAAGGAAAGAAGAAGAATTGAGTGGCTGCATCGATGGATGGCGGGAGTGGGAGGAAGAGATGCAGGAAAGGGAAGATTTAAAGAAGCAAAAAAAAGGGATCCAAAGACGTAATGAAGAAAGGGTGGGAAAAAGGGAATGATTTAAAGGGATGGGGGATGGTAAATGGAAAGATCAATGAAATAAATGCATTGATGCTGTTAAGACTGTAAGGAAGATGCAGGAGAGGAAGGTTTGATTGATTGAATTGATGGTGAATGACGAGGTGAATACAATTTATGCAAACAGGAGGTTCAAAAGAAATAATCTCTTGTCTTCCATCGCTTCCTTCCACAGATCAACCTCATCATCCACTCTGACCTGAAAGAAGCCTTTTGCAACACCTCGAACACAACCAACCACAGCTGCAAGATTACAGCTGAATGCAGATATTGAAACTGATTGATACTCATCGACAACTAGAAGATCTGTCGTTGTGAGAAGAAGCAGCAGCCATGGATATGAGTAAACTAATTTTCAGCTCTAAATTAGAAACTCCTAAACTCTCAGATCCATCAAGAGGTGGATGCGACTGAACGCCACGAAGCAACACAGGACGTTTTGGCTCAGCGTACACCTTGAGAACTCATCGCCAATGACTTATTGGCAAGAAATGGGAGATTCAAACTACAGGGAACAATTTGAGGCTGTTTGCAGCTAGCGAGACTTCATTGGAATATAATAAATAACACTTGCAGCTAGTTCCTCCCAATCCCCTCTTCCCTATCACTCTCCATCCCCTAAGTTGCTCCCTCCCTGTTTTTCCCCTTCCCCCAGATCCTTTTATTCATCAGTCCTTGTTAATTGTGTTAGAAAGAATCTATTTTGGAAGACACACTTCAAAACTCTTCAAATAAGTCTGTCTCAATGCTGAGCACACTTCTCTCTCCACCTTCTTCTTCCCTCTGCTGGTGAAGAAGGTGAATTAGTAGGGTAAGGGTCTCTCTTTGGGATGGGTGGCCCAGCGAGGGCTCTTCTTGGCGGATTCAGCACCACCACTTCTTCCCTGGAGGTTGGAGGTCGGATGGCTTGGCCAAGCAACAACCCCCTGGATCTCAACCAAACCCTGTCGTGGGGGGTAGGGCTTGGCGCTAGCGGTGGAGGTGCGGCAGCCATGAGTGCAGGTGTGGACAATTTCACCCAGGGGTCTGTCACCAGGGCGGTGATGAAAGAGAAGAACTGGCCGGCGCTTCTCATACTTGTCATTATCGCATTGACGATCAGTGGCAACATCCTCGTGATCCTGGCAGTGTCACTGGAGAAGAAGCTCCAAAACGCCACCAACTTCTTCCTGAGGTCACTGGCGGTGGCAGACATGCTCGTAGGCATCCTGGTAATGCCGATCTCCCTCATCAACATCCTCTATGGTGAGTTTTGACTACCCATTAAGACACGTAAGGAAGATGACTTACATACTGGCAAGAAGCAACAAACAGAGTCATGAAAGGACATTGTTGCTTGTTACGAGTCTTTAACTTGATGTTTATTGCTCAAACATTTACACATGTACACTTACTCCAATCTTTAATATACCACAATATAAAGCAAATATACAATTTAAACGTAATTTCTAGTCATCTCAATAACATTTGTTACAAATCAAAGTATCATCAGATCACCCCATAATATTACAATTCTTCATGGCAATCATCTAATAGTTATCGAGACAATTCACAGTGACAAAAATTGTCAGTCAATTGGTGCAGTAATTTAAATTGAAGTGAAAACTTTGACTTGGTGCAGGTGTGAGATACAGTGATACCAAAATCGTTAGGATTAAACCTCTGGGCACCATGAATATCTGTACAAAACTTCAAGGCAGTTTTAGTCTGCACCAAAGTGGTGGATCCCCCAACACACGAACAGACCAGTATTGCCAATGACTAGAGTCATGCTGCTAGCATGGCTAAAAATCTTAATAGTAACTTGTTGTTATGGAGGTGAAATTACCTTTTAAATATTTAATTTCTAACTGGCAAATTAAAGAAAGGGTACAAAGATGGACACACAAATGACAAAAGGTCGTAAGGTACATTACTTACCTGGCATAACTTACATACATTACTTGTAAATTGTTTTCTTTTTGTTTCAAATGGGACAGTGGCCTCCTGGGTTAAAGTCCTGTGTTCGTTTAGGCCATCCATCCACCCCACCACCTCCATATGCAAACTTTCTTGCTCTTTATATTACGCCACCTGACTTCCAAAATGGCACTAGACATATTTTGAAGAGGAGGGCCACTCGCCAAGCTGCAGTATTTGACCGGGTTGACATACTTATTCATCATTCAGGAACATCTGAATGGCTGACAGGCGAGTCCTCTGTTCAGCATGAGCACAGATGCCCCAATGTGCTATAAGTGCTTATACGGCTTTCATTCTGTACAACTTCTTACTTTAATCATGAAAAGACAGACACATGCCTATAAATCTCACCCAGTATTTAAGCAATCTTCGCTGCAGATATCTACCCCTGATCTCGGGCATCCACCAACTCACCAGCTGTTGCCAGCACACTGTGACATGCTCCTCGTCATTATTTCAAAACATTTTTCTATGCAATTATTGAAATAATTATTGCTTCTCTGAGACACTGCACACTGTAATATCGCAAGTGATTCAAGAGCCGGAGGATGCCAACTTGATAATTGCAATATCATACCAGCTATCAACTGCTGTTCTTGCTTACAATATCTCTGCCAGGATTCTGCATGAACGCCCACATTAGCTTAATAGGATATCGGGTTGTTATATGGTAGGCTGTGTATTGAATTTCTTTTCCAATGTTGAGTGAAAACATTACATTAAAGAAAGGCTGCTTCCCTGTAACATTTTAGCCAGGAGTTTATTTCTTACTGTGTACCTGAAAATGTCACCTTTACAGAACTGATGACAGGACTGATAGTAAGTGATAGCTGCAGATAAACACATGCTGGCCTTTTGCAGTTTTCAATGACAGGAGTTCTTGTCAATGCCCACATTTCTAACATCTCAGAACTCAGAGCACTTTCTCATTAATGTATCTAGGGTTGGCAATTGATGTCAAATCTGCAACAAGATGTTATTATCAAAAGAATACTGATTATAGCCCATTTAACAAACTTTCAATAGTCCAAATATCTACACAGGAATCTGGATCAAATGTCAGATATGAAAAATATCATTTATTTTTCAGCCACCATCGTGTGTGGTTAATTTGATCCAGCATTTGTCTAAATTATTGTTGGATTGACTGCAGAGGATGACAGAGCATAAACCATCGTAGCCCGCAGCCAAATATGAATATGTTGACGTGGCTATTTTCATGACAGGCTAAAAAAAAATTGGATAATGGATGCTTAGACGTGGCCGGAGCTAAAGGATTTTGTGATTTAATTCAGATTGTTGCGCGTCTGACAGTGACGTTGATGTGAGAAGTCTCCTCATTTATCAGCCAATTTCACATGTGGTCATTTGTCATTTCTCTCTGAGAAAACATTTTGATTAACTGAGTTTGGGGTGCAAACAATGATGGCATATGAGCCAAACAGTATGGCCTGGGAGGAAAGTATGTGCCATTTTACCAGCGTGATAGCAGAGAGAGACAGATTAGGAAAAGTCAACATATGTTCTCTTGACCGGCCAAAACTGTATTCAGTTAGAGTGTTTGGAGTTTTGTGCACATTACAGTGGTTTGACCAGTCTGGATTTCCAGTTATTTTTAATCTTATCGACACTAATGTATTTTACCTGGACCTTTTGCTGATAGTAAAGAATTCCGCACCCTTAGATCCATGTAATGCATCACTTTATTTCAGCAAGCTTTCGGTCTATCTGACCTTCATCAGAGCACCAGGTATACTCTGATAAAGAGCATACTTGATGCCCATTGAGGCTTCCAGCTTGCAAAGATTTAGCCATGGTGAGAGGTTGTCATCCGGCTTTACCTGGACCTTCTGCTAAAAGCGGACGTGATATTAAACTGCCAGCAAGCGTAAATAACATGTTTGATGTGCAGCTGCTGGTCTATCAGCATTTTATTGACAATATCCTACTAAGAATGGAGGGTTAAGACAAGATTTAAAGATAAGAAGATCAAGTATGGGTCAGAAAGTTCAAGTGCGGATCAATGTGAGCTGAAGAACTCAGTAGACGGCATGATTAACCAGAGGAATTGAGACTTAGGGGTATTATCGTGTTGTATTGATTGTATTGATTTTTAGATTCATAAATGTTAAAATCAAACAAAGGACATCAAATTAGACTGAAAATGGATGCATGGATTGTTAAATAAGCCCAAGAAGGACTTAGTCATGTGGGAAAGAACATCAGAAAACAAAATACAAAACAGAAGTACTCATGCTTAGTAGGAAGGAAGATCTGATTTAAACCAAATGAAAAGAAGATTTCTGTTAATTAGGACTCCGATGTCTTATCCTCCTGGGGTTCCTATAATGGGAAAGTGAACTGTATAAACACACCTGTAATGCACAGTCTTGTGTGTCAGTGTGACGGACATTTTTTGTCTTATGGACATCATAGAGCTTTTTGTATCCATAATGGCTGAAGGGTGAAGTTATGATTTGCCATAAAGACATCATCAGCTCATAAGAAGCATGTGCAAGTTGTAGTTGCATGTGTGTAAGTTGGTACAAGTTTGAGTCTGTGTCAATAAAAATGGTTATGAATATTACCCAAAAATCTCATAGTTTAGATTCTCAACTATGAGAAGTTTTCCTGCTCTTTCCTCTATTAAAAGATTGTAAATTGAATTATTTTAGACTGTTGTGAACTGACAGGTTAGTTCTAAATACTACTTATATTTAAAGGATACTCCAGTGATTTCACACATAATTCTTCCTTGTCAAAACCTGTTGCCTATGTTACCCACAATGCAACTTGAGTGGCAACAGAGATTCGGGTCTCAGTAAAGCTTGTTATGTATAACGTTGTGCTGCTAGCAGTTTACTTTTTAAACTCGTAGCCTACAGCCCCCAACTGATGCTGACTTGAGTGACATCACTTGAGGTAATTTATCAGGATTTGTGCAGCTCCCTCTGGAGCCACAAAAGTAATACACCCCAAGACCTGTAAACACACTTTTATGTGTAAAATCAATGGAGTTCTCCTTTCAAATTATTAACGGAAGCTTTACAAAATACTTGTCATTGTTTAAATCTGTTTGTTGTGAGTCTCCTAGATTTATGGAAGTGCAATCATAAGTACCACTTCAAATCAGCTACTCTAAACAAAAACAAAGCAATCAACAGGTGAATGGATGCTGAAATAAACCTTTATTCCCTCTTCTTTCTTGTTCCATTTCACCCTGCAGCTCTTTTGTGTCCAAAACTTTCCATATTCACGTCTCTGCTTTGTAGCTGGCATCCTGTGTCCATATGGCCAATGGACACACTCGTCCGCTCACTCTGAATCTGTCTGTTAGTTCAAGCTGCTGCAGCTGATTGCTTCTGCGTTAATCAATGTTTCACACAAACAAACACACACGGGAAAAAAAAAAAAAAAAACAAGTCTGTCTCTCTTTCTTTTTTCTTCTTTCACAAACAGATGCACACACACACACCAAGGCACGGGTCTGTCATTTATATGAACACCTATACAAAGAACACCAGTCTCCTGCAAACACAACACACACACTCACATAGAGCCTGGATCTATACTTGCAGTGTTATCCATCAGTCTGGTACTTGACCGAATTGATCACTACGGCTGGCTGAGTGATAGACCAGACAAACACGCACATACACAAACAGGGACTTCACAGAATGTTCTCACGCAGTGTGAATCGACAATGAATCATTAGCAATAGAGTAAAAATGATGATGAAGATGATTATGATAATGAGAATCGTGATAAAAAATGATGTGGGTGGTAATTTAGTAACTTTTTTATCTGCTGTCTGCTTCATGCACACAGAGCTTTTGAAAAGTGTGTTTGAATTCCTTTAATTGGAATTACCAGAATGAGGATTAAATATAATTGATGGAGTCTAAGCTTCCAAAATAATGACACACGCACACACACACACACACACACACCTACACATACAAAGGCTGGCTATTTCTGGTCCAAAAATAACATGAGGTAAAGGTTTTTTTGGACAGGAAGAATGATTCTAATCACCCTGATTAAATCATGCTTGTCCAATAAATCTCTGCAAATATGACAATTGTCGACCTCAGCCGGGTTCACACACCACTGCCGTGGTTAGACACACACATGACCTCATTCACGTGACCTCATTGTGTCTTGCATAGCATGACATGGTTGAAAATCTCTGTGTGCAGCATGTATGACAGGGGCAGATTATACAAGAGTGGAAGAAAGCCCTGCAGACGACCACCATGCACATATACATGGAATGGTCACAT